TGCCATTTTACATATATGTGTATATATATAATATATCCAGCCTGTGAACATGGGAGGCCAGAGGATCTGAGACGACGGCAGAACTCCAGGTTCAGGTATTTCTTCTTCATGGCCTTCATGGGATAAGATGTAAAATGTATTAATATACTGTTAATGGGTAATAGTAATGGTTATTATATGGTTAATTAATGATGGTTAATTATGGTATTCTCTGGTTGGTGGTTGACCTACCCCTCTGAAAAATGATGGAGTGAAAGTCAGTTGGGATGACTATTCCCAACTGAATGGACAAATAAAACATGTTCCAAACCACCAACCAGTGTATTAATGACCTATGTTTTCTAAGTTCATATACAGGAAGGGGCTCCATAGTTAGCTAAGTTGATGCAAGTAACTTGGTGAACGTTTGTCCTAGGGGATAAAACGAACTAGTTATAGATGAGGTTAAAAACCAACAAACATAGGGGGCATCGACAACCTGGACCTGCCCGACAACCTCTGCCACCATCCAAAATAGATGATTTGCCATTTCTGGGCAAATATTTGTGGCTAAAATGTGGCCTTTTAATAACCCCAGAAAATTGCACGAAAACCACAACTCCACTGAAGTTCATGGCATGAAGCTCCACCCTGATTGCTTTTGCTTTGATCAACTAGTCCAGGCAACGACTGCGCAAGCTGCGATGCCTTGATCAGTTTCCAACCAAATGCAGCATTGAGCCGGTTGCCACGCAAGTCAAGGTGAGTGATGTTCTCCACCTCACTTGGCATGGCATCTGGAAATAGAACGTGGTTGATCACCAAACAACGACATAAGAAAGTTATATGTATATATATATGTATATATATATATATATGGAATACCCTAAAGTATATATATATGTGTGTTTTGTAAGCTGCACAGTATATAATCCATTTCTCTCTATATATATATATATATACATGGATTATATACTGTACTGCATCATTCCAATCCTATGGAGATCCAAAACTTGGAATCTCCATTGACCGTTGGCGAGTGATGGCGAGTGACCTTTGGTGAGTTAAATTTCTATCATTTTTTTTATTTCTGGATCGTACAAAGTTCGGCCAGGTCAAAGTAAATTGTCAAAAGATGACAAAAGATATCAAAAGATGTCAAAAGACATTCCAGCAATGTTTGGCTGACTATGTTGCTGGGAAGAATTCATAAGGTGATATGCCTCAGCCGAGGCATCTCAATACTGTCTGAATCCACCTCCAGTCGACAGGATTGAGACTCAAGCGTTAAGAAATTGACCCAAGAATCAACAACCAGCACATCATTAAACAACAACAACAACAACAACAACAACAACAACAACAACCTTGTGTTAAAGATGTTAATCCAAGTTTTCATCTGTCAACATTCCAAGCCATGATGCCATCGGTTTGGGTGAAGCTACGGGTACCAGCTGGTGGCTTGCCGCCAATGGCCATGACGAAGCGGAACCGATTGATAGGCCTAAAATTCAGGCCTAAATTTCAGGGAAGATCCCAAGAAAATATGGCCAAACATATGGTACTAAGATGTACTAAGTTAGTACCTCCATTTTAGGAAACTGAAGATCTCCCATTGATTTGGGGATGAAAAAATTGCATCCATTTCTGGTGATGACTTAGGGACATGAAATTGGGTGAATCCCATCACCAAAGGCCAAAGCTGATCCCAATCATTTCTCTTTCCATCGTCGCAACGCGCTTGCCCGCCTTTTTCTTACTGGTGCTAAACTTTACGTAGGGAATGGATGGGTTGCTGGGGGTTGCTGGGATGATCTGCTTGATAGTTAGCCAGTGGATCATTCCCGAAAAAATCCCTACGTTTAGCACAGTGAAACTTAACGGATCTGGGATTGAAACTGTACACAATCCTGGTTTTCCTGGTACCACAAGCTTGCTGAGTTCGTGCAATTTCTCTGCTGGCAGCATATGTTCTCCAAGAACCTTAAGATCTGTTCATATCCAATCCTCCAATCTATGGAAGCGTTGGAACATGTTAATTAAAGGATGGACCAACATATAATGATTGCTGTGCTGTGCTTTGCAATACCCTCTCTCTCTGTCTCTACAAGTATCAATTCATAGGCTTAAAGACCGTGTGTGTATATACAACATTGATCATCCCACGGATCGTAAGTGGTTAATAAGCCTGTCAGTCGTCAGTCCCTAGGGTTATCAACCGTTTATAAGTTCCCATAAAAATAAGTTATAAGTGGGGTAAACTAACCATTTCTCAAGCCCACCATAGTTTTTATGCGAATTTTGTCCCATTTTTTTCAGTGGGTCCTCTAAGTAGATGGTCAAGGGCAAGCCATAGTTCTACAAGGTGGTGCCCCCCCGGTGATGGGAAAGCTAGTTGAAACAACCATCATCATATTAACCTATATTAACATATATTAACTATAAATTAGGTCATTTGTAGCAGCTATGTGAAAAGTTACCAGAGATGGTATTACCTACAAGGTGGTGCCCACCCAAAGGATAGGATATCTACCATAAACCCAAGTGAAATTGGAGTTATGTGGCCCCCAACTTAGCTAACTATGGGGTACCACCTTGAACCCCACCCGGTGTCGATGGCAATTGTTTGGAAAATCCCCGGCAAACAAATTGAGGATTGAATCTGGTTGGCGGTTTTAACAATCTTGAAAGATAAAAGTCAATGGGAAGGATTATCCCATATATTATGGAAAAAATGTTTGAAACCACCAACCAGTAATATATTTAATGAGAACAAAAACATCGAACTAAATGGTGGATTTGAAAAAAAAACACTTGCCATATTTGATTTGCAATTCCCACCTAATCTTAACCATCATCTGTGGTAGGCCAATGAGGCCAGAACATAACTTATCCAGCACTATCCATATCACGGTTGCGAAATCCTGCAGCAGTTGGTAACTATGAATGATAACCAACTGCAACGCTGCAACTCATGGGCCATTTTATCGGATGAATCAATACAATGATTCATAGATATCTCATTATATCACGTGATATCCTTTATAATAATTAATGTCAACCCTGGACTAATAATCCCTTAGGCTGTTGAATTGGGTGGTATCATTTAAAAACCATATTATGGCTATTGGGGAAGTACCCCCTAATTAATAAACTATCGTTTATCATTGTATCTTGGTCCCTCAATATGATGGCCGAAACAACCTCCATGTTTCATCCAATTTTTGAATGGATGGGTCAAGCGCCACTGCCAGCGGAGCCCGTTCATTCCTCACCATACCTTGGTGCTGTGAGAAATGAAAGCTGGGTCGTCACATCGGTCCAGATGAATAAAATCTCATCATATTGTTTCAAAGAATGGCTGTATAGCTCAGTATAAGAATAGTTGTGAGATTTCCACAATTCTTCTTTGATTATTATCCAATTATATATATATATATATGTAGCTGAGTTTTATCTATTATTTCCATATATATATATAATATCCATATATATATATAATTATATGTATATTATTATTAGTTCCATATATATTTACTCCTGCAATTTCACCAGCCCAGATCTCTAGCTGAGTTTTTGTTTCAATATGGCACTGGTATCACCAGGATTGTGTACCGCCGGCGTACCGGCCGCCAGGGGAGACACGGGAGATGCCATGTTTCGAAACATTTTGAGCACAGGAAAGCTGTGGCTTTATAGGTATAAACCAACTAAAAAACTATGGAAAATCTCCATGTTTAATAGGTAAATCAACGAACTAAATGGTAATCAAGTTTGGTTGGTGGTTGACCTACCCCTCTGAAAAATGATGGAGTGAAAGTCAGTTGGGATTATGAAATCCACAACTGAATGGAAAAACTAAAAAAAATCGAAAGCACCAACCAGAATCAATCTTGGAAACACACTGATTTCAATACCAACACACTGCTGCATTTCATGTATTTCATGGGAAACATTGAAGGACAAATGAAAGAACAGTGGGTGTGGGTCCACGTTTTTTAGCTTGTTGACTGTTGGGTATACACAGTTTGCCGTCGGACTCACAATTTGCTCGCGGCAGAGCCATGCTGGGCAGTTCGCCTGAAGAAACACTGAACAGATTTGTTGCAGTCAAGTTTTCTCAAACCTCAATTCATTGTAAAGGTTTTTGGAACTGAAACTTCTTTGCAGCATTGCGTACCAGATTCAACCAAAACTTAGATCATTCAAAAATCAGCACCTGAAAAAATGTGTCCGTTCTGCTGGTTGAACTCAGAAATGTCCCAACGCATGAAAAACAATGTCTCTTACGTAACCATAGCAAGATACTTCATATTTATGGGCGGTCTAAATTCAAAACCCGACCACAAATGTTGTTCATTGTTGTTCATTCTTATGTATTGACCAATCATTTTTTTGGGTATCTAATTTTTCTTCTGGCATGTTCAACAGCATGTTCGGGCAACATCTTTGAGTTTCCAAAATTGGGATGACCAGGCGGCTTCCAGAATCTTGTGAATCTAGCTACCCGAAAAGGTAGGTACCCTCTGGTAACCTAACATAGCTATTGAAAATGGCCCAGTCGAAATAGTTGATTTTCCCATTAAAAATGGTGGATCTTTCCATAGCGAACTGTTAAATTACCAGAAGGTCATCAATGAACATCCTGAGACTTGAGACATGAGAATTGGTGCCCAATCATTGGATTCATCCGTATTACCAGTAGCTGGTAGAAAACAGCCTCTTTTTCGCATTCACCATGATTCTAGCTTAAATATGCTTAAATCACCTTCTGAAAATTATAACATCACCATATTTCATGCTGGAATCATTAGAATCCCCATGAATCCCCCATCATTTCCCCATCTTTCCCAATCTGAAATCATATGAAATCACAAAGGACACCAAACTTTACTGTAACAGATTCAGGCAACAAAGATGTTTTGTACCAGGTGAATGGTGCAAAAACCTGAGAGGTCTTCCCAGGTAAAAAAATGTTTCCTGGTTCCCCTCAGAAAAAATCCTGGTTTTCTCCGAACAACTCATCCCAGGACGGAAACGAGGCCGTGGCGCTCGTCGAGGATGGCGTCTTTCAGCGCCACGGCCAACTTGTGACCGCCGGGGTCACTGGGCTCCACACGTGCCACGTAGTCGTTGGTGTCCTCAGACCCATTGATTCATAGAAAGTCCGTGGGATTCAGAGATTTCAAAAAGGTCTAATGTCTATGATATCTATGGATATCTGTAGAATTCCATAGGTATCTATCCATAGATATCAATGGAAATCTCAAGAATTCCATAGATATCTATGGGTATCTATAGAATTATATCTATGGATATCTGCAGAATTCCAAAGATATCTACGGATATCTATAGAATTCAATTGATATCTATGGATATCTGTAGAATCATAGATATCTATCCATAGATACCTATGGATATCTAAAGAATTTCATAGATATCAATGGATATCTATAGAACTCCATAGATATCTATGGATATCCATAGAATATCCTCCAATTTTGTGGGTTATAAAGCATCTCATACAATGTGGTGCTGCAGTTTGTTGAGTGACCTACCAAACCCAATATGTATAGGCATATATATATATATATATGAACATATATACAAACAAAATCTCCATATATATATATATATATAATTTTATATGTATATATATATATTATACATATATGCAAATGTATGAACAACATATACTGTACATGTGAAGTACAAACGGATGACGTGATTTCCCAGATCGGGAAAACTCACGTCAGAAAGTAAATAACTAACAGATCTTGGATGGACACCTACCTAGTGAATAACTAACTTAGATAGGGTTTCATTGGAAAGTGAATAACTAACTTAGATAGTTCCAATGATCAGATCTTAAATGGACACTTCCTCTCTTAAGATCAAACTAGGGAAAATATTTCAACAATTCGATCGACTTCAGGGTGATTTTTGGTACACACCAAAAACAGAGGGACTGGAACTGCGGTTGAGTGATGAATGTTGTTTTGCCTCAACATCATGACTCGTCGCTCTCTGCGTTTCCATCCAGAATCTCTATTTATAATTGCAACATATAGAAAGTCCCAAAAAAATGAAGAAACAAATAAGCTAATATACTAAAGCAATGGTAGATTTACTTTTCTGCATCTTTTTGTTGGGTGCTGGACCTAGTTGCTACCATCTACTTTTAGCTCTGGAGCAATGCTGCTAGTCATAATGACTGGCTGGCGGTTGACCTACACCTCTAAACAAACATGAAAGTCAGTTGGGGTGATTATTCCCAATATATGGAAAAATAACAAATGTTCCAAACCACCAACCAGTAATCAATAGTCACAATGATGATGACTGTTCATCATACAATGGTGTAACGATGGTGATAGTTCACTAAAGCACTGGGATCAATCACCTCCTGGATTGTGGAAAATTCAGGGGTACCATTTTAGTTGCCATGAATGTAACCTTGGGCGGTGACCCCGTAATCAATAAATGCGGGTTTATTTCTCCGGGGAATATCAAGTACTGAGGGGGAACCACCGTAGACTGACGATTGCCCCACGTTGCCGTTATGATACTTAACACTACAGGATTAGTTCATGATTATAGCACCACCAAAAAAGAAAGATAGATTTTCAGTTATCATCATGTTATCATCATGTTTTCGTTTTTTTCAGTTATATACATTTTCAGTTTCCTTACCGCATTTTGAACTGGTGATCCGATCCCGGCCGTTTTGAAGCCAGGAACTTTTCCATCTAAGACCTCGTACAATGGTAATGTCACCACCTTAAGGGCAGTTCAACAGAGATTTCCACTGGTGGTGGATCATGGATATCATTGGGAAACATGGGGATTTTATGAGGGATATAACCGAAATAACATGGGATATAACATGGAGACTTAACATGACTTATCCATACTTATCCAACAGACTTGCGGGGATATGACCATCCAGAGGTAGGACAGGGATTGTTTTTTTTTGACGAAGACTTCAAACTTAGAAATTCTGCTGTGGGTCAACAGCACCCTTTGTGCGTTTTACTGGTGAGTCTGTGCCGAACATGTGAAAGGATAAATTATTGTGGTTCACCAACCTGGGGTATGTGGTCATTTTGGATCATTTTGGGATAGTTAGATAGCCCTATTGGTCATTGTTCCAGTTGTATGGAACATGATGGATTACATCAGTTTACATGAGTTTTCCTTGGTCCTTGATGTTCACATACCCCCTGGAGCGACTAAGTCTCGACCCACCACCTAACCTATGGCCGCATGGGTGGTTCAGAGTGGCCGTTCACAAATGATGGATCTTGGGGTAGGGTATTGTGTGGGACACAACAAGCGCCCCCATGGATCTGGTACGAAGAAACGATACTCCCCAACTCAGCCCAACAAGTCACTAGAATCTGGCTGCCATGGATGCCGTTTCTATTGCTTTCTACCGTCCAGACACAAAACTCATAAGACATGGGAGGGGACGTCAGGCATGCATCTAAAAAACATGGATTGAGAAACAACCGCATCCTGTAGGGAAAAAAACACAGAATCGTACCTCTTGGACCACCGGCTTTGGACAACGATGCTCCCCTTTGAAGTTCAGGTTCATCAATTTTGCTTTCCAACCTTTTAAGCGCATCGCCTCGCATCACCCTTGCTTTTTTAGGTGATCAACTTACACTTGCTATGTCCAAGTTCAATCTCACCCCTTCCCCCAGCCCTCTGCCCAGCCATGTTTAACAGCAAGCGACTTCAGTGCCGGGGATGCGAATTCGAGACACAGCCATGGAGTAGACTTGACCTCGATGTACCCTGCAACTGGTCAAAAACACTGATCACCCATTAGAATGACATTGGCTATAAAAAATCACATCAAGTAACTAGCTAGAATACTGCTGTACCACTAATTCAAAAGGTTATACATGGTTATACCCATATGGGTATGAGTATGTTTATTGTGTACCCCCCAAAAAATATGGATAGTTCATACTAAAATATAAAAACCATGGTTTATACATGGTAAAAATTGGGTACGGTCCCCTGGATCAGTGCTGGTGATGGAAAAATCGAAGCAACGCTTAAAAAATAGCCCAACGATCAGTAAGTGGAAGAATAACTCATGTAAATTTGGGTTATATAGCCAGTTATAGTTGTTAAGGGCCATAAGATGCTATAAGTGTGAAGGTTGACAAAATCACAGGTGAACACAAATGAACAGTGGAGTGAATTGAGGTGGTCCTCTTGAACATCCAAGTCAGAACAATATACTGGCATCAAAATCCCATTTAGGGATCACATCATTCAGCCAACCATACTGTGGATGGTTGCGAAATCCTGCACCAGTTGATAGATGGTAAACATCCCATTATTTATAGGGTTTCAACCATCCGGTTGGTGGTCCAGAATTTCTTTCACCCACCGTATCACTTCATAGATTACCCATCAAATTTCGAGCTAGTAGCCCCATTTGTAAATGATTTTCGGTACCAACCGCAACACCTATGCAATTGTTCAAACGCACCTCTAAATATTGTTTGTAATTATCTCATAATTCATAATAATTCACTAACCTGAAAGTAACTAAACATAAGGCCATCTTGGGATAATTCCCCGTACTAACCATCATTCCGGTAACGTCACAGTGAGGTCATGAACAAAAATCATCCAGATTGTTGCTTTGATCCCCAGTGAAATAAAGGTTATATCACCCCACTACTGCAACTCATCAACCTCATCCCCAGTGCGAAGCTAAGCTCTCCGTTCATCGATTCTGTGAGTGACCTAGCAAGAAATTGTTGTCCCCTTTTTAGATCTTCTTAGCCCCATGTATAAGACATATATATATATACATATATCATTGTACATTGTGTATCTCCATAAATCATATTTTGTGATTAAAGACCAAATCCAAAGTTCCGATTCCCACTGCTGTTTTTTTGCTCCATTCATATATGACCTCTTCAAAATCATCCAAAAGTTACAATCTCACTCACTATTACAAGCCATTTGCCAAACAAAACACACAAAACTTTTCCGATCTTTTCCGCAGCCCCAATACACCCAATCCCCACAGTGATAGCCCCATAGCCACTTATAACTGGCTTATTTCATGATATACAATCATATAACCAACCTTGGTTACAGGAGTTATATATATATATATATATGAGCCGCGGAAGTTATTTGGTACAAAACGCAATTGACGGGGTGTTCCTACCTCGTTTTACAACCTAACTATGATGTTTTAGACAAACCGGGGTACGCCACAAGACTATACAATACTATTCTCCATTTAACATCATTTAACCAAATAAAAGCCGCTGCTCATGTAACTGGCTTAACAGCCATGGCGGCCACGTGTTTGCCACGGTGTTTTCCACGTGTTTTCCAAGCGCCGAGCGGCGCATCACCGTCTGCAGCTTCTCGGGATTGCGATCATAGCCCAGTGCCTTCAGCGTCCCATCCGCCCAACTGCCACCAGGCGATTCGTCCAGGAAGTATAGCATGCCTTGGGCCATGGCGACGCCAAAGCAGGTAGTTGTTTTGGCAACAAAAACGATGGTGATGTGTTTTTTTTCGGGGTTTTGAATCGAACATGTTGAACCATCTAGGTGTATTGATATTAAACATATGTGTTTTACAGATATGGTATGTGCAGTACGTATCCAATCTCATGGTTTTACCTCCCATGACTGGACCCCCAGAATGAAGAGATCCACTGGAAAAACCAAACATTTCCTGGCTATCTGGTAAACGTTTACATAACTATGGAAAATCACCATCGTTAAGAACGGTAAATCAACTATTTCTATGGGCCATTTTCCAGTTCGCAAACTGTGAATGTTTACCAGGCCGGGTATATCTATTAACCATTAACCATAGATTATCCATAGATTAACCATAGATCAACTATAGATTAACCATTTATAGATGGTATAATCTATTATTATAGATGAGGGTAACATCAGGAAAGGATGTCTGGGATTTTGACCCCTGGGAAAGCCATCCGGCAGTTCCCGGCAGTTCCCGGGCATCTTTGGACTTACCATTCCATATGATTCACCATTGATATGAGTGAATATATCAAAGCAACATGAACCACCTGTCACCATCTATTAAAGTTTCTTAACCATTTATGGTGTATACATTATATATATATATACTCATCACCATCTATTAGTCTCTTTTCACCCATCACCATCGATTAGTTTGTTCACCTAACCATCTATAGTGCGTATATTGTGATGAAACCCATATACCCTCTGGTAAACTAACATAACTATGGAAAATCACCATTTTAAAGGGAAAATCCACTATAAATGGCCATTTTCAATAGCTATGTTAAATTACCAGAGGGTATTACAGCCCTGCCATGTAACAAATGATCACCTTCTTCGGCTTTCGCGCAGCGATCAGTTTCTCCGTGATCTTGCGCAGCCGCACGCGGAACATGTAGATGAAGTACCACATGCCTGGCACTTTGGTGACAATAAGTCAGGGATTTCACAAGAAACATATATATATATATGTATTATATGTATATACATATATATTGTACATATATTCATATCATATCATATCATAGTAATATTTGGAACACTGGAGATTTCGACAACAGCATCGTCTATACGGGCGAATCCAGAGGAACCCCCATCGTTTTTACCACTAAATATGGGTGTCTCCGATGATGACACCAATCCATAGAGATTGATATCCATTGATATGTATATATATGTATGATATAACAATATACTATACTATGATATGATATGTATATATACTTTGATAGAGTATCATACTTTCAAACACTGAAAAAGGCATTTCTCATGGGGAAACCTGTGAAACCTCGCAATGTTCAATGATGATCGATGATGCAGAGATTATGGTGATCTAACCATCTTGGTCAGCCCTAAGAGATTTGATTAATCAGCGGCTTCATTTATGGCCCTTAACAGTTTTAAATGGGTTTATAATTATGTATATGTATATGTATATGTATATATATATATATATAACCCTAGTTATAGTATGTTATAGTATTAGGATGTATTAGGATTTATAATTCCATTCACAACTGTTAGTTGGGCCATAACTGTTGGTTCAATGATCAATTGATTCTTCATTGCCCGCCCTTGGTGGTGCCGATGTGCCCCAGCGCCCAAGCGGGTGAACATCGCCTAGCTGGCTTTAAGATGATAATCACTCTCGCTACAGGAAGTGGTCAGAAAACCAACTTCAGACCACCTTAAGACCGATCCAAAATATGGTTGGCTACCGAATAACATAAACCTACTATTTAAGGGGATGGTTGAAATCCAACCCATTTATGATGGTGATGGCTTGGGGATGTTTATGGCATTGGTTTTGCCACAGTAGGGCTTAAACCACCTCGTAATTTACCATGGTTTCTTTCCAACTTGGGAGTGCACCCAACTTCGTATCCAAATTGTAAATGGGTCAACAAAACCCAGTTCGATTGATGGACTATCCCCACTTCTATGAAGTGAACTAGGGTGCATCCATAGGATGCAATAAACCCGGCGGTGCACCGTTATTTTTCGTGGCCCTCCCGTCCTGTCCCGTCCCGTCCCGTCCACCTGGCACCAGCCAGGGACAACAACGGATGAGACAGGTGGGCGTCAGGTACAGCAGCAGCGCCATGTTCAGGATAATCCCGCAGGTGGGCCGCAAAGCCACATCGTTCCCACCCACGTCTACCACCAAGATGTCGTCTTCCGTCAGGCTGTCGCGAATGAATTTGTCCTGAAAACATGACAGTAATTACTGGTTGGTGGTTGACCTAGCCCTCTGCAAAATATGAAAGTCAGTTGGGGCTATTATTCCCAATATATGGAAAAATAAAACATGTTCCAAACCACCAACCAGTGAATTGACTAACGATGATATGATGGCGAATGGTTTTTATGGGACGTGAGCCGATGTCTAAAACTTAAGGAATTGTTGTCTGTCATAGCCCACCAACGTGGTCATGATTTTAGAAGGACAATGATGATTAACCCATCGATGTCTTACTGTTCAGATGAACCAAAAAACGGTTAACATAAGTTTCTCAGGTTGACTTCCCTGATACCTTGGCAGCTTGGACATGTTTTTTTTTGTGATCGTGGCAACACATATATGACACTTCACCGATCAGTCGATCATTGTACAGGCCAGCGGCCAGAGTGACAATATGTGACAATGAATTAGTTGTGACCTAAGAATATCTTTAACAATCTGAGTCGCTTTCAACAATGCTTCCCATATCCTCCCATTCTATGCACTTCAGGGTTTCGAATCTGAACTACAGCACCACGTGCCGAGCTAGGGACTTGTTCTTAGGGGTGTGTGTTTTTTCTCTATATGGATCCCATCATTGTTCATCCAAACGTTACTTTTTGATGGTTGCTACCAGATAGATTTTTTCCAGTTCTCAGGGAACATCCGGAACGAAGACCATCTGCATCGGCGCACATGTGTCATTTAAGAATCCATGTTGAAGTCTGACATGGAAGCACTGCAAGAACTTCACTTGCTACTTGGTAACATATCAATCACATTTCTCTTGTTGGAACCCAGCATTTTTTAGGGACCTAAAAACATGCCCAACCATCAATGAATTCCGCCGAAAAGTTGGAGGCCTGTGCCAATAGACCTTCCACTTCCTGGGGCGGAGATCGATATCTGGGAGAAACACCCTGATTGGTTATCTGCTTGGTGGTTGACCTATATGGTTGGTTGTTAATATATGATTAATATACTGTTAATGGGTAATAGTAATGGTTATTATATGGTTAATTAATGATGGTTAATTATGGTATTCTCTGGTTGGTGGTTGACCTACCCCTCTGAAAAATGATGGAATGAAAGTCAGTTGGGATGATGACATTCCCAATATATGGGAAAATAAAAGCCATTTTCCAAAGCACCAACCAGTGATACAATGCAATGTAATACCCATATACACTATGTCTACCTAAATTCTTAGAGAATACATCCAAAGGAATGCAATTTTGTGTCTATACATATATATATATACATATAGATAGATATTTATTGCTTTGCAATAACACATAATAACACCGATCAACCAGGCACCGACCGGGCACATAGGGGAGGGTGAAACAATCCAATCCGAACAAAAATCCACCACCGCTATATGAACCCATCATACGTTGATTTCGCACCCAAAATTGAGCTATATGATGCTATCTTCCAGTAAACTCACATACAGTAGCTATGGAAAACGGACCATTTATAGATTTACCTATGAAAACAAAATAGTGATTTTCCATAGCTATGGTAGTTTACCAGAAGGTATATAGATATATATATATAATATTATATAATCAGGGAAAAAGTTAGTTAGCCTGTAGTTATGGTTCTATGGTTCCCGGCACAGATCTATCAGAAATCGATTTTTCAACACCTATTTTAAGGGTGCTTCAATTCCCCCATTTTGGGTCCAACGGATCAATGCTACGTCCCCCACTGAGCTTGATCAAGATGGATCAAGCTTCCCTCTGACTGATGCACGACTCTTCTACCGCTCCATTGATGCACACGATGGGCGGTTCCACTTTTGCCTTTGCCAGCCTCGAAGCTGATGAGTGTCACATCATGGCAATTTTATTTTCTAGGTTTTCTCAAAGGTTGTGGAAGTGAGGTGAACATGGATGAACATTGAACAAAAACCCACACGAAAAAAGTGTGTATTACAGATTTCATTGCTTACAGATAGCGCAATAATTGCATTTCTATCGCTTTTCAAATTAAGACCCATTATGATATTGCTTAATATTAATATCGTACTTCTTCTGGAAACTCTACTACTTCCAAAGAATCAGAGCTTTCCATGCAGTTATGGCCCAACTAACAGTTGTAAATGGAAGTATAACTCCAAAAACTAGGCTTATATATCATATTATATCATTATAAACCTTATAAACCCATCAAAAAAACCGTTAAATAAGGGCCATTTTTCTGTGGAATCCATGTTTTCCTCACCGCGGATCACGTCAAGGCACTCGTAGTTCACCCAGAAACTCACATCGTGCATCATCAGAGCAGGCTCCAGCAGTTCCTCATAGCCATTCAAGGCCGCGCCTGGCGAGCGCTTCGCGGTTCCCTCTGGGTTTTTACGTAGCGTAACTACCCTCTGGCAATTTGTTACATAACTATAAGTTATATATTAGGATAATCTATGGTTAATGGTTAATATATATATATATAGTTACCCTCTGGTAATTTGTGACAGTTTGCTATTGAACATGGCCCATAGAAATAGTTGATTTACCATCTGGTAAATAAACATAGACCCTGAAAATCACCATTTTTTAATGGAAACTAGTCTTCCAACCCCTATTTGCCAGGGTCTATGTTAATTTACCAGAGTGTACCCATTCGCAATGGTGATTGTTCACAGTTATGTAAACGTTGACCAGAGGGGAACTATATATATGGGACATCAGCATTGAATAACAAGGCTTCCTTCTGTTAAATTACCACTGGTGAAATATCTGGGGCTAGGAATTCTCCACCTATAAAAATGGCTTTGTGTAAAACTGAGTCAAACACCTTAAATACTCTCAGGCACTGACACCATCAACAAGACCGCATGCAGGCCCACTAGCCAGTGATCTGTCCATGATTGTAAAATCATATCCGTTAATGTACTAGATCCAAAATTCATAACAAAAATGGACAGTTTAAGTTAGTATGTTAAAAAACAATCAGGACATGATAATAATATAATAATGAATTGGATATGAATTAATGTTGTCTAAATCCCTAATGATTCTACTACTGTCCCAACATGCTCGTCATCCACGAATACATCCCCTTGATATCCCCCAGTTGTGCTGGTTAAATCCAGTTAACTAGTTTGATCTTCCTCTGGCTATTTAATATTATTAATGTACCTATGGAAAATCACTTCATTTTTACTTAAGGTAAACCAAAACAATGGATAAACATGGGCCACTGTCCATAGCTATGTGAAATAATGGGCCGTTAATCACCTGAGGATACTGGGAGGATCCCACCTGTCCAACATTTGGTGATCGCTTCAGCCTGGTGATCGTTTTTTTGAAGTCTAAAAAAAAATAGGGATATCCCAACATATATAATATATTATAATATCAAAATATATATATACATATATACACAGTATATATATATATAATATTAATATATCGTATCTAAACATCTATAGATGGCACTAACTTACATAGTTCCGAATTCCACTTGAGATCTGGATGGCTTTTCCTGCCGGGGAGCTCTTCGATTTCTCTTCCGGCAAACTTTTCCCGCCCTGAAAGAGCCAGTGCTTGTTGTCCAAGGTCGAATCCCCTGGCCCCATTCACCCGGCACAAAAGCTGATACAGTGATGGCCCAACTAAGAGAATGATGGGTCTATTAGTCTATTTCATGATATATAAGCCTAGTTATAGGAGTTATAATTCCATGTATAACTGTTAGTTGGGCCATAACTGTAGAAGTAAAATGAAATAACTCCTGCAACCGTAACTAGTTGATTATCATGAAATAAGCCAGTTATCACTTGCATTTCGGGCTATTTCATGTTAGGATATATCGTCACAAAGAAACATTATAGGCTCATCAGGGGATATCATGGGAACCACTGGGATAGATAGCCAAGAAGATGACATCCCCAATTTCTAGCTGTTTGAATGGGAACATGATGACATTGATGACTAGCCATGGGATTTTGAGGTTGGACGTTTTCAAACAAGCCCAAGTGGGGATATCACGGGCGAAACATAAACGAAATCAACGTGCACAGCGAGGAGACAACTTACAAATGGTAGATACGCTGCAAAAAAGAGTTGAGTTTACCTTTTGCAAACGATTGATTCTAAGACATTATATAATTATATAATATGTTTTTGCTGACGGACCGTTTACCGGTTTTTGCTGACGGACCGTTTACCGTCCAGCGAAATGCAACGTTTTTGTGTTTCCCGTGACCAGTCATGTCTTGTTACCGTTCATGTGACCTTGCACATGAAGTTGATGGGGTGGGGTGGGGTGGGGCATGTTACCGTTCGTTGGAACTTGCACATGACTTTGATGCTACGTGATGAACCTTCGTTAGAACTTGCACATGACGTTGATGCTACGCTGCAGAACTTGTAACTACCCAGACCACAGAGCAGCAAAAAATGCCAAGCTGAATGACATGAAACCAAACCATGATTTTTGATGAAGAAATTCTGGTTTCGCGTAGGCGAAACGATCATTTTTATAACAACACCTGAACGGTAATCGGGCCGGCGGGTTTGTATGTTTTTGCTTCCTGTCAAAATGGCCAAAAGTTCAAATACTTCACCCACCTGAAAAGTTCAGCCTCCTATGGGATACCCCTACGAGTCCTAACCATCATTTCCATTCATTTCCACTGTGAGGTTGTAACCAACATATCCATATCACCTGCCAAGTATACGAAGCTTCGTCGCGGATTCTTGGCACGTAGGCCATTCCTGAGTTCGGCAACGAGCACATGTTTAAACAATACCCCAAGGTTAAAAGCTCCGATTTTGGAGAATTGCTTCAGAAAGAGAACAGTACTTTCATGTACTTTCCGAAGATGCAACTGGCTTGGCCGCCCCATTTTTAAAGACACTGTCTCACCTCGAAAATCGACACTGGCAGGGGCGCTAACTGAGCTGAGAGTCACCAAGTGACGCAGATGTTCCACTCGGTGCCCGTGATATTCTTCATAGAATGCTTGTGCAGGGATCTTCTTGGCCATGGCGAAAGTATTCGAAAGTGGCGTTTACACGTTGATACCCCATGGATTCCAATGCACGTCAAATGGTAGTGGTGTGGTTTGCCTTGAACGTTCCAAATCAGAGCAATCTAAGGAACTGAGGGTGATTTTTGCAATGCACAACATGTTTCTCTTTTAAGCAACTGGAAGAGCACAAAAAGCATTCACGGCGTGCACAACACACAGCATGTTTAGATGTGAAGACCGGCTCATTTATTGATAGTTTTCTTGTGTTTACCGACATTGACACCACAACATTACCAGTCGTCATTTGTAGAACAAACAACTCATGCAGGTATAACGTAAATTGTAATGTGTCCTTCAGCATGGAGCATTTGGGAGTTGACTCTATGTACTCCTCCAACAACCCTGCCTGATTATCTCAACTATCCCAATTTATAGTTAAATCATCCTTAATGTGGTTAAAATAATAATAAACTAGCCATTTGGGAATGGTTTATACCACCTATGGTGATGACTGGGGGATGGTCAAAAAAAATGTTTTCACCAAAGCTGTTCTCCCCATGTTCTCCAAGTTCGCTGAGTTCCACGTCCCAAGTCACAAAAAAAAAAAACACCGCTGAGTGCTACACTGAGAGGACCAGTGACTCAATGGCATGTTCACCTTGGCGAATCTTCACCGTCCACTGCTGATGAAAAAGTGTGCTTTTTCGATGACTTTTTTTCGGGATTGTTTTATCATGTTGTTGAATATCCACTTAAGATTGTTTTTTTCATGTTGATGGATATTCAACATCAAAAAAATGGGCTATAGATAACTATGGGACACTTTCGTGAAAAGAATGGGGGGCTCCGTGCAGCTTCTGTCACAGACAAAAAATAGGAAGATTGAACATGAACGTCATGTGATGTCCATGATGGGCGCGGCAGGTACGAAAACCAGTGATCCACACCTGGGTAATTCTCTTTCTCACGTACAATCCGGTCCCCGTTCAAATGAAACACCAGCCAGAAACTGTGCTTTCGCAAGGGATCAACAACTGATTTCAGACCATTTTCTGTATTTTTGGAGCGGTGTGTTTATTCCCATCCTCATGAAATTCCGGCCAGAAACCGTGGTTTTTTCGGCATTGAAGTCCTTTTGTGTAGTGTTTAATATACCCTCCGGTAACCTAACACAACTATGGAAAATCACCATTTTTACTGGGTAAATCAACCATAAATGGCAATTTTCAATAGCTATATTCCCATAGGATCCATGGAATATTTACCAACATTTGCCCGAACAAAATCACCCAGTTATGTAGGTAAATATACCAGCACCATGGATCCTATGGGATTAGTTTACCAGAGGCACCTACCGGTAGGCCTGTCATGGCCAGTTCACGGCCTGTTGATTCGACCTCGTCCAACACATCCCACGGACGGGCCCCACGGAAGGATCGGATCCCTGGCGAGTTTTTCATCCCAAATAGTCCAATGGGGATATTCCATATAATATATAATATATATACATACACATTTATACATATATATATATATATGTATAATATATGTATACTATATACACATATTTAAACAGGCTTACCACCAGCCTTTCTCTCTGCAATCACGTGGCTCAATCCCATGCCTCAGGACATGCAGGACACGCCAATGACACGCATCGGACACGTGGACAATGACTTATGACCAAGTTATAGGGAATGCCCCAGTGCCATTGGATATATATATATATATGATTATATATGTATAGATGGGTGACCCATAACTGTTGTTATACCAAGTTATAGCCATAGTTCCCATTGGAATTGGGGGTAGCCTATTTTCAGACAAACAAACAAAAATGAACCATTTCTATTATAAGTAACAACATCCAAACCCTTCCAAAAAGGGTGGTTATTTGGATCATCATCTATAGGATTGAAACATGTTGAAACTGACAACACAAACTAAACCAATTATAGACCATAGAAAACATGGAAATTTACCAGAAATAGGTGGTCTAATTCACCCTTTATAGAACCCTATTTATTGAACCACAATCTCTAGCTAAGAAGGCCATTTCTTGTTGCTTAAACCACTATGTTTTTATAGCCATTTGCAAGGCAATTTCTTAGAGGATGGGTCAACACCTATGAAACTACCATCAGTTAGCCATAGATAAACATCCATTAACGAGCTATTTGAAAGTATGGTACCACACTTATGGCCCAACTAACTTACAAATGGAATTATAAGTCCTATAACTAGGCTTATATATCTTATATATCATGAAATAAACCCATTTCATAACTGCTTTTTTTGGGCCATAACTGTACCATAGATAAACATCCATAGATGGCATAGATAAACATAGATTTTATCATCCTTTCACCAGCTATTTTAGAGAAAGGTACCATGGTTGTCATCGTTTTTTTCGTTCTTTCAATCCCCTTCTCCGTACGAAGTAAAGCCCTCGAGCCTTCGCGTCCTGGACCAGGCTTATGATTGCCTAAACAAACGTGATGGAAACGTGATGGAAGGACATGGTATGACCAGCAACGAGAAAGGGATGTTATAATTAGTGTGTATATATATATGATATACAGCGTGTGTGTATAGAAACACATATTTACAGTGCATATATATATATATTATACATTATTATACAGTTATACAATGTTATACAGTATGTATATATAAGATAAAAATAGATAAAACATATAGTCAAATACAACTCAGCAACTATACCCAACCACAATAAGTAATGTTCGTAAAACCCTCTGTTACCTCAGTTGTACTGGTTGTTTGAAGGCGGGATTCGCACAATGGGTCATGATTATACCCAATAAACCCGGTAGTACAACCACTAAGAATCAATCAATATGGATTGTGGACAGTGCTTGGCAAAGATGGAACCTACACCATGTCTCACCAACATCGTTGTTTTAAACAGTGTTTTAGGCCAACACCACAATGGTGTTTCAAGCAAGGATCATGGCTGATCCAAACGCGCGATCCAAGGGTATGGGTCAAAACCCCAGTACCATTCTGCTCACCTTTAAAATACCCTCTGGTAATTTAAGATAGCTATTGAACATGTACCATAGAAATACCTGCAAAGCCGTAGTAGCCTAAAGTTTCAGGCTACTTTGGGCCAGTGACCATTTATCTAGCGACTTTCAAGTTTCTACTCCTAAAATAGGCTACTTTGGCATATATGTGATATACAGATATATTACAGTAATTCCATTTGTTTATAGCAATAAAATCATTATATTATACACTTTTATACCTCACCAACACCTTTCCCATTCCACCTGCGCAATCTCGAGGCCATTTCTGGCTGCACCATGACGCATTTGGTGGTGACAGGTGAGACACCACTATTTTTTTTGGGATCCATCCCATATAAAGATATATATATATATATCTTTATATATGTGTCTATATCTATATCTCTATATCTATACTATATCTCTATATCTATATATCTATATCTATTTATCTATGTCTATATCTATATATATATATCTGTATATTCATATGTACATATGCATACAGTAAACACATTTATATATACATCAGGATATGTTTCATAAAATCTGATCAAAACAGATCCCTGCAGCTAAGCTTGCCATGGCGCTCACTGCCATTATTGGCCTCCAGCTGGGGCAAAGGACCCCGACAGTTTCGTTCGGACACATGAAAACAATGCTCCATGGGTTTCGTTTTCATGCAGGAACTTGGGCTGAAGAGATTTGGCAAACTCGTGATGAATCTTAGCAGCATGTGTTTATCAGCTGCGCATTACCCAAAAGATCAAATGGAAGCATAAGTATATGGACAAGAGATCATTTTTTGAATATTTTTTGTGGCTTTCAAACTTCAAACCAATGGCCTGCCAAGGACTGGTACTTTCCTACTCTGCGCTGCATGTCTCCCCGGCCTGCTTCAAGCTTAAGCCCTTTTGTCCTGCACAGGCAGGAAGAACTTGATTGGGACATGGTGAACAGTTTTGTGGCCTCCCTTGACGGGTTGACTCTTGGAATTGCGCTGCATTTTTCTCAAGTTAAGGCTTGTTTGTAGTGCAGTCATTTTCCCAGATTGCAATCATGAGTGATGATGAGGCTCCTGAGCTTGCAACCATGTTGGAACGCTGTGAAATGCTTCGCAAGCGCTTTAGGAAACAATTCTCCTGGCTTCAGTGGCCAATTGCGGCCGTTGATGTGGAAGAGGGGGAGGTGGAACGCCACCCTATTTGCACCAAAAGCCTTGAGCTCAATGTTGACAGTGTCCGTGAGATGGTTCATTTCTACCATGGGGCTTTCGTGGATATCCACCAGCTATCTGCACAGGCCCCTGTGATTTTTTTTGTGTTGCTGCCAATGGGTTGCCCATGAATACATTCCAAAATGCACCAAAATACACTCCATGTAGTTGCCCTGTATCCCCAAGTTTTTAAATACTTTTGGGACATCGGCCCTTGGAAGGTGACCAAGTTGTTCAAGCTTTGCCAGCATGAGCCCAGCAGCAGGAAGCATGAAGCTTATCAAGATGCTTGGGATTTAAGGCGACTTTACACATTCGCATTCAAGAGGCAGCGGGACAGTGTCAGACGCGGGCAGAAGCCCCGGGACCAGGGTTCTCAAAAATATAATGAAAACGGTTTATCTTTTTAAATCTGCAGTTCAGGGACGAAAGAGTCTTTATATAACATGATAACATATGTTTATATATATATATATATATGCACCTTCAAAACCACTTGCAGGACAAGAAGGTGCGAGAACTCTTTTCCATCATCGAAAAGCTTCGCTCAGAATGGGCCTTTGCTGACTCTCCCACAGAGCCAGCCCCTTTGAACCTCGAAGGTGAAGTCAACCATGATTCCGACTGCTATGAGAATGAAAACCATGTTGATCCACCCACGGGGTCAAAGCTTGAGAGAAAGGGTGCCAATGCTTCCTTGGCTAGAGCTGAATCGACCACGTCTGTGGATACCCTGAGCCCGCCCAATGCTTTGCTCAAAGGCATGGGCA